GGTCATCCTGACTAGCCCCTAGAAGCCCCTAGAAAGGTTTTTTTCTGGATTTTGTTTATTGCCTTGTTTATTCGTTTGGGAGGAGGGGTCAGCCTCAGACCCCAAGGCATTCACAACAGGCAGCTTATGGGCTAGGAGTTACAGATAATGATTATGCAGGATAAATTAGAATTATGGCTGCTTTCCATCATGGCATTATAAATGTACCTGCTAACAAAACAACTGATCAACTTGTTTTAGTTCCCTTGCACCTTCTACCTTCTAAATTCATTAAGAGTGAGAAAGGACAAGGTGGCTTTGGTTACTAGTAAGAGACCTAACCTTAAATTACTAATCCAAGTAAAAATGTTTGAAGGAGTAATAGACACTGGAGCTGATGTACACTCATTCACCTCCAAGTGACTGGTTATTCCATTAATCCAAAACAAAATTCAAACTTAAGATTTATAAAAGGTTAATGAAACTAGAAACTTGTAGGGCATTACAGCATGACTTGCCTACTCCAGCTGCCATTCCAGGACATGCATATAGAATTATTTTGAATTTGGAAGATTGTTTTTACACTGTTCCTTTGCATCCTGGTGACTGTGGGAAGATTGCATTTAGTCTGTCTGCTTGTAATTTTGAATAATCCATGAAGTGATATCATTGGAAACTTTTGCCACAGGGAATGGCTAATAGCCCTTCATTATTTAAAAAAATTATTGCTGTTTCAATATGAGAGGCTAGGACTTTGAATCCTTCAGAGAATATTATTCATTATATGGGTATTTTATTAGCTGATCCCTCTGTAGGAGTTTTATTGCAAGCCTTTGCTCTCATACAACAAGCTTTAAAAATTTGGGGAGTGCTTGTGCTCTAGAAAAGAATCAAAGGCAATATCTTTTTCAATATTTGGGACCTCAGTTTTATCCTAAGCAGATTGTGGCACAGAAAATTCCAATAAGAGAAGATAGTTGGGTCTGGAGAGACGGCACAGTGGTTAAGAGCACTTCAATCCCCAGCAACCAGTATGGTGGCTCACAACCATCTGTAATGGGATCTAGTGCCCTCTTCTGGCTTGCAGGTGTATATGTTAAACAAAAGGATCATTTACTTTTAATGATTTTTAAAAGTCGTTAGGAAATATTAATTGGCTAAGACTTCATCTTAAGCTTAACAGGAGAACTTAAAACTCTATTTGATATTCTCAAGGGGGATGCACATCTTAATTCCCCTAGACAATTAACTGATGAGAGACAAATAGCTTTGCAGAAACTAGAGGAAGCTCTTAGCTAACAACAGATACATTATACAGACTGATCTATTATTGGCTGTTTCACAGCAGTCCTTTGGCAAAAGTGACCATTAATGTGGATTCATCTGTCTTCATCTGCAAGTAAATTTTAACACCCTGTTGCTGTGGTAATACAGAATTGTAGGATAGAATCGTGAAAGTATTTTGGATGAAATGTTTATTCCTTATTTCAAACAGCAGCTAAATTGGTTATTACAGAATACTGATATTTGGACTATTGCATGGCAAACTTTTAAGCAATTTTGATAATCATTATCCAAAAGACAAGTTGTTAGAATGTTCCTCTATGCACGCTTTTGTATTTCCTATAAATTTATGCATGCAAGCCATAGAAAATGTGTTTACTGTATTTATAGATGGCTCATCTAATGGGAAGGCAGTATATGTGATTGGATCACATGTTCATTCTCTTTGAGTTTCCCCCTACTTCAGCACAAATAATGAATTATGTGCTGTAGCCACTGTTTTTGAAATGTTGAAAAATCAAGCTTTTAATTTGTATACTGATAGCCAATATATAGCTCATGGTTTACAATTGCTTGAAATATTTCTTTTTTAGATTCTGCTAATCCTCAAATTTTACAGTTATTTATACAAATACAGCTTAATTTAAGAAACAGGGACTGTTCCTAACTTTATAGGACATTTAAGAGCTCATACTGAATTGTCTGGACCCCAGGGCAATGTCACAGCAGATTTGTATACCAGGCATATTATAGGCCTTACAGTAACAATTGGCCATACAGTTTCATTCTTTTATCATCAAAATAGTAATAGCTTGAGACAGCAATTTGGTATTTCTAGAAATTTGCATGTCAATTATAAAAACTTGTTCTCATGTCTTCAATTTCTTCATAATGTTGTTAATCCTTGAGGACTCATACCTAATCAATTATGGCAAATGAATGTTACTCATTTCTGATTTTGGAAAATTAAACTATGTACATGTGACTTGACACCTTTTCAGGCTTTCTAGTTGCAACTGCTTTAACAGGAGAAGCAACTAAAAATGTAATCAGTCATTGCCTACATTATTTTTCTATTCTTGATGTTCCATATCAGATTAAGACAGATAATGAAACTGGCTATTGCAGGCATGCATTTGAGACTTTCCGTTGACAATTTAATATTACCCATATTACTTGTAATGCTCAAGGACAAGGTGTTGTGAAACAAGTATTGTGGAACTTTAAAATAACATCTTTATAACTCTCTGAGTGTGGGAGAAGCATCTTCTGGCACTTCTGCCCTGGTTTTGCAAGGAACTCTGAAAAACTGGCTTAAAAAAAAAAAACAAAAACGGTGGAGTTATATCCTTCAAGTTCATTGAAAGCACACCTTGCTTTTGTCCTATTTTTTGCAAATTGATGCTAAAGGTCAGTCTGCAGCAGATTGCCACCGGCATCCAGTCACTTCCAGCTCATTTGCCAGGGTTAAATGGAGAGACCCCCTAACTAATACATGAAATGGTCACAACACTATTTTGATTTGGAGATGAGGCTCTGTGTTTTTTCACAAAAAGAAAATGGAGCTTGATCGCTGCCTGAAAGATTGGTCTGTCAAGTGGACACAGATCCTAAGCCTAATGATTATGATACTAATGATGAAGACGGCTCAAATTCCCTAGCAGCCAGCTGAGTTAACCTGGAATGTAATCTCTACTCTTACTGGAGAGCAAGTGTTTTCTATCAATACTCAAAGCCAAACCCCATATACCTACCTGGTGGCCAGACTTTGTGTTTGATCATTGCCCATTAGCAGCAGGACTAGATACCTGGGACATTCCCACTTACAATTTTAATTTCTACACTGCTTGGACCATGAATTATAATCTTGTTGCCTTTAACTTTTGGACCTTGTATCTTAAACAGATTGGTTGCCTTCATACCGGATCGTTTTCAGCAAGCTCAGCTATTCACCATGGCAATTATTCATCACTATGAAGAAATGCATTGAGTGCATATGTCCTTTGGTCTGAATTCATATGTTGCTTTGGTCTGTATGGGAAAGAGTGTGCTATAGAAGGCTGGTCGTCAGAGAAGGGTAAGAGTGTTCTTGAGCTTCTATCAACCTAAGGCAGAGGCATACATCAATGCTGTGTTTGTTCTCCTTTATGGGTAACAAGGAGCAATACAGTCACCAACTGAAGCCAGACATGGTCACCTACCCACTCTATACCCTAGACAAGATACAGAAAAAAGTAAATCTTGTGCCCCCATCAAGCTACTGGTACTGTTCATCTTTTAAAAACTAAAAATGGGGAATTGTGCCCTCCCCCAGCCTTGAGCAGGCCCAAAAGACCTTGTTTTTCCATATGAACCTTAATGACCCCGGTGGAGTCTTCTGCCCTGGCTGCACGTACAACTTCGTACAGAAACTTAGAAGAATAAACTGCTCGATGAGCTTGCCTTGCAACATAATCCAGCAGAAACAAAAGATGGGTTCCCTGGGCTTCCCCTATATATATACAAAGTGCTGAATATTAAACTTTGAGCCTTGATTAGAGAACTTTGTCTTGGCTCCATGCTTCTCTTGCCCTTCCATCTCCTTTACATTTCCAGCCCTCCTTTCAGGTGAACCCAGTTTGTCCATGGCCACTGGGTGGCTACAGGAATATAGCCCACAAATAGTTTACTCAATAAATTAAGTTGCAGTTTACTACAAATGTGTTAGCTTTAGTCCAAATCTAGCATGAGCTATGTGATCTTATGGGTATCATTTATATTCGAGTTCACTCAATCAATTTCCAAGGCAATAAAAATGGTTTTTTATTTAAATACAAACAAACAAAATTTTATTTATTTATTTATTTATTTACAAATGGTGCACAGCTTTAATGCCAGCACTCAGGGGGCAGAAGCAGGGTATCACTGAGTTTGAGGCCTGTCAGGTCTGCAGAATGAGTTCCAGGACAGGCAGGGCTACACAGAAAAACCCTGTCTCCTAAACTCAAAACAAAAACTATTTATTGGTTTGTTTGTCTATTTACTTACTTGTATGTGTGTGGTCAATCTCATGCCACACACGCATGTGGAAGTCAGAGTACAATTTATGGGAATTAGTTCTTGCTTTCCATAATGTGAGTCTTAAGACTGAACTCATATCTTGGCAGCAAGCACCTTTACTGCTTGAGCCATTTCACTGGCCCATAAATTAAGATTCTAATACTTCATTTACACAAAAATCTGGAAGTTTGAGGCAAAACTATAAGTATAGTACTGAAGACTAGAATCTGATGTCAAAAGAACTCAATCCATAGCCCTACAATTTTAATTACATGCAACATATAAGAAACTATTGAAAACACTATGCTTACTGAAACAATGTCAACTCAAATACACACACAAGCCACACTTTCAGGATCCAGTGGGTTGTCTTTTATATTTACTGACATATGTATGTGCATATCAGTAGTGACTTTAAAAAAAGAGAGAGAGAGACCATGAATTTCAGACAAAGTAGGGAGGAGACATGTGAAAGGTTGAAAGAAGGGGATGGAGACATAATTATATTTTAATTGGATTTTTAATCCAAAACATGAGTGAGAAACAAGCCACCCAAAACAAAGACAACTCAAATTACTAAATAGGATTTATAGCCACCACTTACAGATTGCAACAAAGCAATGTTTTTAGACCCTTTCCCAGGTAACCAAGTCCTTCATAAGAACCTAAGCACTAGGGTCCCTTCTCACATACTGTACCTCTTTGATGATTCTTACTCCTCTTGGATCCTTGATATTAACAGCTATACTCTAAAATCAAAATGTCAACATTAGAATGCTTTCATAAATATTTTCATCATTACTGTCAGTTCAACAACAGAGCCATCCATATCATACAAATTCTCATTGTCAAGGAAGCTTAGCTCCTCTATGAATAAATACTTAGGTAATCTTTATTGACTTTAGTTACAATCAAAATGTTTATCTGATACCAAGAACCATACATAGTACATACTTTTCAGTAGTAATGCTATGTAATACCAACATAGGAAAATAAATGTAAAGAACCAAATTATTTGTTTTTCACAGAATATTCCCCTTATTCTCGTCATTTCTTAAATTATTTAGTATAGGAGGAAAAGTAATAAAAATTTTAATGCTTGGATATGATCATGAAACTTGAAATATTAGTTACATATCAAAAAGCAAGCCATGATAGCAAAAGTTTTGTAACTGCCATAGAATTAAACAAAAAAAAAAGCAAAAACAGGAAATAGTCTTAATTTTTTATTTCGATTAACACTAAGAAAATATGTACTTTCTGTGTTCACAAAAGGAGGTCAATTAAACAAATAAAGCAAAAACAGGAAATAGTCTTACTTTTTTATTTCGATTAACACTAAGAAAATATGTACTTTCTGTGTTCACAAAAGGAGGTCCCCAAGATCGTGTGTCATCACCAGCTCCTGTAAATGATAATATGAGCTATTAATTGCAAACCAACAGACTCACTTCTGTGCACACTCCCAGGTACCTGGAGACGGTCAGCTCATCCTAGCAGATCCTTATCCCCTTGGTGCTTTCTGTAGCTCAATAAAACTTACCAGATCTCTACTTTTTAATACCAACTGTCAAATCATTCCATATTTGCTTTCACTAACTTGCAGTATTGAAGGTCAAATTCCAAAAGGACATATTTTGCTAGCACTCTTTAAAGTTGATAACCAGCAAACTTGACGGGGTGGGGTCAGTTTTTGGCAAGCACGTTGGTCAGTTTCTTTATAATTTCTTGACACTGAATGTGAAATAAAACTATGGAATAAACAAAAGATGTGTTACATATTATTTAAATCAGAATAATACTGTGAGTATATATAAATTTGCATAAAGGGTTGAGCATACAATAATAACTAATAATCTATAAAATATTTCTGTGATAAAAATCTGAAAAGCCAAGACAGTTGCTGGGGAAATGGCTCATCAGTAAGTAATGTGCTTGTTTTTGTTTTTGTTATTGTTTTTACCATAGTTGAAATTCCCAGAACCCATATAAAATTCTGTTGGGTATTGCAGTCTGCTCTTATTCTCAGTACCTACTATGTAGAGACAGAGAATCCACAGACAATACAAATAGAAATGTTAACTCGGTTCTCAACTATGATGTCAAGAGAATTTGAATGGACGTTCTATCTAGGAACAGATGATGCAATAAAAGTAATGTTTTACATTGCGTCATGTAATCTCAACACTGAGGATGTTGTAACATTAAGAGAAGTTCAAGACCAGTATGTGCTTCTAACTCAACTCTAACTCTAACTCTAACTCTAACTCTAACTCTAACTCTAACTC